ACTCAGCTCCAAAGTGGCACTTGTGCTCCTCCTGAGCTGTTATAAAAACCCCAAAAGCTGCACTTTCATGGTGGTTGCACACTCCATCGAGAGCGAGGGGCATTTCTGAGGCACTGGAAGCCAGTGCTGGGTTTGGGATGCAGCCTGGAGCTCCTGAGCAGCTTCACTGACTCCCCAGACACTGGGGAGAGCCCTCCCCACAGCCCCGGCGCCTCTGGGCTCCTTTCATTCACCGATTTCCACCCCATAATTTGCTGTTTCAGCCCTGTCACTGCTCTCCTGCAGCTGAACGCCCTGCAGTGACCAAGAAGGGACAGCACTGCACGGATTTGTGGTCTCAAATCAAAATGAAGATGGGATTTCCACACCTTCCCCACTGTCAGGCCTATGAAAGCATCTCCCTGAAACAGCTCTGAGGTTTTCCAATCTCAACAAAAGGACGTGAGGAAATATCTGGGGTTTAGGGTRAGCCAGACCCTGGCATCTCCTTCAGCCACCACACAGTTGTCACCTGCCACTTCTGCTGCAAAACTTCATTTCCCCTCCTGAGAATTGCCTGAGCCCCGATATTTGATGGAAGTTAAAACTGAAGAACACTCAGGGGAAAAAAAAAAAAAAAACCCCAAAGCAAACAACGGTGCCTTATTTTAGAAAAGCTCTGACGCATTCCRAGCAAGGAGCTCAGCAGCACAACCAGGAACGTTTGCCATGGGAAACCTTCCTGGGGATGCTGCAGCAGAATTTCATTGCTTGGATGCAAAACCATTGTTCACCTGCTGCTGTTCCCATCAAGCTGAAGCTCCTCGCCCTGAAATTTCAGTCATTGTCAAAAAGTCCCTGGGGATAAATGTGGGGATTAAAAAAACCTCTGGTCCAAATGCAGCACAGGGAGGGTTTGAGGGGCCTGGACAGGGCCATGGGAGCACCAAATTCCAGCTGAGCCCCTTGACCACCCATCCACTCCACCTCTTCTGCAAGGAATTAAACATATTTGACTAAAATGATCAAACACACAACCCAAAATGAGCTCTGGAACGTCTTCTGTTTGTCCTGGAGCAAGGAGGGGCTGGCAAAAGGGGCCTGGACCAAATGTAGTTGTGACACCTTTAAATGCCACACTGCTTTAGAGCAGGGCAGGGCAATGGGAGCTGATGCCATGGCAACCTGGCCTTCTCCACGCTCCCCTCTGCTCCAGCTGTGCGGGGCTGATCAGGAACAGCATTTCCACAATTCCCAGCAGCAGCAGAGGAGGGACAGCAACAGCCAGGGCTGAGGATGGGGCTTTCTGAGCTCCTCCTGGGACAGGCTCTGCTGTCCCAGCACCTTCTGTCCAGAAGCACGGAGACAGACAGATTCCCATCCCTCCCATCACCCTGAAATGGTCAGGGGTGGCTCAACCAGGGAGGATTCTTTATAAAAATAACCCTCCTCACATGGTTTCACCCTCTAAAGCAACTTAGCTCATAAATTGTGCAAGCAGGAGTTTGACGAAGGTTCCACTTTGCTGGAAGTTGCATTTCAAGCTGGCATTTGCCATTCCTCCCTGTCCACACAGATATCCCAGAGTGCCTGCCCTCATCCCTCCCTCTCCCAGGTGCAAATCCTACCTGGAAGCATCAAGGAATGGCTTGTAGGCAATGGTCACCCACTCCTCTCTGTTGGAGGAGTAGCGTGGCTCCCTCGGGGTCTCGGCTGCTGTGTCCAGGTCCACCAGGTAGTGGCATTTGGAAATGTCAATCTGCAGCAAGACAGATTTATTTCCTGGTTTATTTCTGGGTTTATTTCATGGTTTATTTCTAGATTTGTTTCCAGACTTATTTCCTGGTTTATTTCCAGATTTATTTCCTGGTTTATATCCTGGTTTATTTCCTGGTTTATTTCCTGGTTTATATCCTGGTTTATTCCCAGATTTATTTCCTGGTTTATATCCTGGTTTATATCCTGGTTTATTCCTGGTTTATTTCCTGGTTTATTCCCAGATTTGTAGAATAGTAGGACGAGGTTCTAGTTGCCTGGTTTATTTCCTGGTTTATATCCTGGTTTATATCCTGGTTTATTTCCTGGTTTATATCCTGGTTTATTTCCTGGTTTATTTCCTGGTTTATAGCCTGGTTTATATCCTGGTTTATTTCCTGGTTTAATTCTTGGTTTATTTCCTGGTTTATATCCTGGTTTATTTCCTGGTTTATATCCTGGTTTATTCCCAGATTTATTTCCTGGTTTATATCCTGGTTTATTCCCAGATTTATTTCCTGGTTTATATCCTGGTTTATTTCCTGGTTTATTTCCTGGTTTATTCCCTGTGGTTTCTGGCTGCCTGTGCTCCTTCTCAGTGAGGAGAAGAGGGTGAAACACTTAGCACCAGGTCAAATGCTCCATGCAGGACGCAGGGAACAAAATTTGAATGTTTTCAAGCAAAACCTTCGTGGGGGAATCCAACAGGAATGCAGCATTCCTGTGTCTTACCCTRCCTTACTCCCTCAAACTCTTCCTTGAGGGATCCCACAATTTCAGTTCACTCTCCCACAAAATTTTACTGCTAACTTCCTTGGCCACGCTTGAGATCCCTTTTCTGAAGCCCCTTTGGGGTTTAATGCAACAATTTGGGCTGAAAACAATTGAATTAGGTGGAGAGCAGATGGCTCCRTGGCATCACAACTGAGCAGCAAATGAAATTACACCGCAGGAAACTCAGCTGAGGATGCTGAATCYGCTTCTTGCTCTGTGTGAGAGGAACATTCCAGGCCCTGGGAGAGGCTCTGGCTCATTAGCAGAAGGACTCCCAAACCACTAACCAAGTTTTTCTGGAAGTGATGTGGAATCATTCAGAGAAAGACAAGTTGCTGCCTCAAGGACCTCGCTTGTCTCATCCYAAATGCTCCCTAAAAGGGTGGGATTTCAAATTCCAGATCCAAGACAGGTTTCCCTTGTATTTTCACAAGTTACAGTGCAGCCAAGGATAACATTCCTGCTGCTCAGAGGGCCAACACAGCACCTCTGCATTGACCTGGGGATTTACACAACACTTGGGTGATGCACAGACCTTGAAATGAAAGAAAGAAATGAATCTTAGTGAACAAAGCTGCGAGGGATTTCTAAATTACATCCTCTCTTCTTCTGTTCCCCTTTCCTTTTCCTCCTCCCACTCTTTCTTTATTTGATGCAACTGCTCTGCCAAGTGGAGGAGAGCTAAATTGGATCCCACCCTGACTGACAGGAGTGGGAACAGCACCGAGCTGGAGCTCAGGGCACATCTGTGCTGCCACTGGGCTCTGGGTGGTGTCAGAAGTGAAAGGAAAGTGCTCAAAARCCCCTTCCTCTGAAGCCAGCTGCTGTTAACAGCGTTCAGGCCAAACCTGCTGGTGCTGCTTGGATGGATCTGGGTAAGAAATCCCACCCCTTATCTGGTTTTTAGCAGTTTCAGAGACAAATGTGCCTCCCCAGCCGGGCAAGTGCAAGGTAAGTGCTGCTCAACGTGATTAAGGGAGGGAGAATTGCAAAACAAGATCAAATCACTCCTTGCCCGTGTCCCATAGCAACAGAAACACTGAGCTTCACTCTTCCATTTCCAAGCAGAGCAGTAACAGATACTTACACCTGAATCAGGGAGTTGCATAGCCACTGATTGGTTTTACTCATGATAAATCCTCCTGAAGCATTTTTCTCCCCTTWAAATGACCAACAGCCTCGTGCTCTTTAGATTTACTCACTCTCACAGTCGTGACCAGTTCTTGCTGATTTTTCTTCTATTTTTTTAAATCTGAGTATGTTTGTACTCACTAAACTCAGGGAAAGATCTTGATCTCTTGGTGTGATTAGCAGGTCAAAAATAAGAGTTTTCACCCCCTGTTTCATTCCTGATTTCTGAAGTGCTAGGCCCCTGAGCTTGCGTGAGAAATGACAAAGTTGTAGGGTGACATTAAGGAACAAGCATGAAACAAAAGTGTGTTTTGCTCCATTAGTCACAGGCTGTGCAGCAGCCAGCTGTCTGTGCTAAAAATAAGCCCCAGTTAAAGATTTCATAAATTAAATGCACTGCAGCAGACAGCTCCTCTCAGGTGGGAACACGCCTCCTTCCCATTTCCACTAACTACATAATGAGCCTCAAAAAATAAAAAGCTTTAACCCAGAAGATTGCCAAGATTTAACCTGTTGGTAGCTTTAAACAAGTTAGCTAGCAGTAATTTTAAATTATTCCTATTTGTGCACTGGTTTGGTTTAGGTAACAGTGCAGCCAGGAAATAAATCAGTAACACCAGTACACATTATCCTAAAGATTCCCATTGAAATCACTAATGCAATCAAGTTMCAAATTAAGTTCCTCCTCCTCAGTTGCAAATATGATGAAGAGTTTTCTATTTAAAAAGAAATGAAAGTACACAGCAAAATTTCAACCCCTGCTCAGTGATAAATATTTTCTGTGGGGGGACTTCAAACTACTCATTCTTGTGATCACATTGTTGCACTCCACTAAACCCAAAACTGCAATAACTGGGAGTTATTACTTCTGCTGCTTCTTTTATTCTCATTCTGCCCTAAAATTGACAGATGAAAGGCAAACAGAAACCTCTCCCAAGAATGGGGAGATTTCCAAGCACTGCAGAGGGACCATTTTTGGTTTGGAACTCCCCAGGAAACCGAAATGGGGAAATCCACTCCTAGACATTGCATTAATTTAAATTACCCTGTGAGGTAAGGGGAAGAAATTGGGAATAAACACTCACATATCGAGATGGCTCCTCCTTGTTCTGGTCATTCATGTCCGTGGGGATGATCCGTGTGGCCATGGGTCCCTTGGCAAAGGGTTTGGGCAGCTGGCCCCTGAATTCTGACAGGATGAACTGGAGCTGCCAGCTACAGAGAGCAGGGAAAAGGTTTGGAGTGGAGAGAAGCAAAACCACAACAAAGGACACCTCATTCCCAAGGGTGGGCTGATCAAGGAGCAGGGGAAATGTTTGGAGTGGAGAGAAGCAAAACCACAACCAAGGACACCTCATTCCCAAGGGTGGGCTGCTCAAGGAGCAGGGAAAATGTTTGGAGTGGACAGAAGCAAAACCACAACCTAGGACACCTCATTCCCAAGGGTGGGCTGCTCAAGGAGCACAGATTTCCAGCAGTTTGTGGCCAATGTGCTGGCAAAAAAAAAAAATACAGAATTCTTTGGTTTGGGTAATTTAACCTAATTTTGATTTGGTTCTTTACGACCCTGCTGCTGGGGACAACAGGGATCCAAGGGTCTGAGGGTTCCCCACAGCCATTATTACACCCCTCGTTATCAATCTCACCCAATTGTTCTTTTTTTCTGTTAAAACACTCACTTGTCAGGCAGGAGGAAGCTGCTGGGGAAGCGGTGCCACTCCTTGCCCACACAGACATTGACAGGCCTGCCCTCAGGCACCGTGTGAATGCTGGGGTCAGTGGCAATCCTGTGGAACTCGGGGTACAGGTCCAGGGGCCCGTGGTAGCCTGTGGAGGGCACAAAAATCAAAGTCAAGGCTGAATAACAAGGGGATTTAATGAAAGCCTACAAAAAACAGTTTCAGACACCAATTTTTAACTGGTAACTCATGGACTAAATGAAGTGGGCTGTGCTAAAAGGGAGCTGGATTCCAAAACTGCCTCTCCTTTAGCAGTGCTGATTCCTCACTAATTTCATTCACATTCCCCTGTTCTGGCTCTCAGTGGCCACAAAAACACAAAAAACACTCGTGATGTGAGAAGGCTCTAATTCCAGGCATTACCCATCCATCTCCAYTAAGGATTCATGTAACTAATTCAAGTTTTACACAGGGAAATGCTTTTCCAAATGGGATTAACAACATAAAAGTTGAAACATCTAATTAACACCAGTCTGGTTTGAGATCAGTGGAGTTGTGCTGGTGGAAGGGGAAGGGTAGAAGATTTTGAAGTGATTTAATTCTGGTGATCCATTCATACATTAATGGATGAATAAATGTGCACACACATGTAAAATCCTAACCCTAACCCTAACCATAAAACTAAACCCTCACCATTAAGCCTGGGTCCTAAAACTTAACCCTAAACCATAACCCTTAACCTTAATCCTAAAACTAAACCCTAACACTAAATCTTAACCCTAACCCTAACCCTAAACTCTAACACTAAACCCTAACTCTAACCCTAGCCCTTAACACCAATCCTAACCCCTAACCCTAAACCCTAACACTAAACCCTAATCCCAACCCTTAACCCATCCACATTCATATATGGATCAATGCATACACACACACACACACATCTAATCATTAATAATTAATTAATGGTGACCATCAGAACTTATTCCTTTCCCTGCAGCAACCACACCCAAACTTCTCGAGGTTCCTGACTTCTACAAAGTCAAAGCAGCACAACTTTTGCAGGCCTGGAGTCCAAACCCCAGGGGAGCAGAGAGCAAATGGAAATACCAACCTCTGAATAAGGCAACAGAGCGTGACAGTGACAAAAGGCCAAAGAGGAAGACTGTCCCCAGGGCCAGCCAGTTGGAGGACACCGTGTAGTGCTCCAGGCGGTAGCGCTGGAAGATGAAGTGGTAACATTTCTGAAAATAAAAAAAAGGAGGCAAAGTTACTCAAATTCTGATGTGCTCAGCAAAATTCTCTTTTCCATAAAGGCCTTACAACAGGGCCATCTCCCATCAAATCTCTGAWCTCTTTCAATTCAGAGCCACAAAAATGCACAGAAGCTCCGAAGATTTACTTATATTTAAGTGATAATCTGGGGTATTTAAASAAGTTTTCAGCTCTTTTTCCCAGGAAAGCCTCTGGACCCAAAGTGCTGTCTCAAAGGTTCCAGCTCGGCTGTTCCCAGGTGAACCAGGGCCAAGTGACCCTTCCAGACTCCTCAGCAGAATTTCCCTGCACAGACACACCTGATTTTCCACCCTGGACTGAGCTCCTGTCTAACACAGGCTCCGTGACCCAGATTTATGGAATGACCCTTGGATGTTTACCCTGCCTGCACAAACCACAGCTTTGAGGTGGATAAAAGAACACAGAGCACGTTCTGCATTCAGCTCTGAACACAAGTCACCCTGGAACTGATAAAAGAAAAATTGATAAAAAGAAAAATTTATAAAAGAAAAAATGATTAAAGAAAAGTCCTTTAAAATATTTTTTAAAAATTTAAAAGCCTTTCTGGGAATACCCAGGAGGAAATACATCCAGTCATTGGCTTGGGCCCTCCCTCCTGYTCTGCAGGAGTGGTTATTCACTTCCTACCCTCARCTGCTTTCTGTTTCTCTTGTGCTGYTTGCATTTTTCTCATAACAGCCAAATCCACGTGGTTTGGAGGGGGAGAGTGACAAGTTTGTCCTGTTAGAGGGCAATCAGTTCCAGATTCTCAGCTGGATGCTCCATACTGGAGCAAAATGTCATCCAGCAGTGGTAAAATATGCAGGAAATGTACAGTAAATATTCCTAAAGCCATATTTGGCAAAAATAAAAACCAACATTGCCCTGTGATGTTCTGAGARCACAGAGCCATGAAATTGGTGATGTTACAGAGCTGATACAAGGACTGGAACTCACTGGGGAGTGGAGGAGATCCAGAGGCAGAACAGTGACCCAGGGAAGGGTGAGTGATTGGAGGGGAGGGCAGGAATTCCACAGGACAGAGGAGAGACAGCCAGGATGAGGCCAAACAGCTGGAACAGGCTCCTGGCTGCATTCCTGTGCCTTTCAAACAGCAGGAGATGAATGATTCGGAGCTTTGGGAAGGTTTATATCAATCTAGATTAGTGCTTTGCTCTGTGAAGTGTTTCAAGTGATGTTTACTAAACACCCAGTGTTTGGCTCTTCCAAATGTTCAACAYAATTTCCCAACATTCAAACGAGATCCCTTTTCCTTTGCTGAAACACAGCAAAATGCATTTCCTACACAGCCACATTCCTGCCCTGAAAGCTGAACAGCAAAGGGGGCTCAATTCCATCAGCAGGTCCCCAAATCCTCATGGAATCTCTTGGATTTTGTGTAGTGTTGGCACTACAACATCACAGCTCCAGGAATTCCCACTTGAGGTTTTAGAACCACTAAAAGTCACCATGAAATAATCAGTGGTTGGGAAATATTCTCAACAATTTATTAAACCCCACTAAAATTTACCTGAAGAGCAGAGAGAGCCACAGCACCAGAGAGACAGATGAGGGGATAGATGGGGAAGAGGAACCTCTCTTCTTTGTGGGGCTGGCTGAAGAAAATCAGGATCCAGATGTACATGGGAGCCAGGGTCAGCCAGTAGGGACGGCCCAGATTCTGAACTGGAAAAAACAAAAACTCAGCCAAAGAGCAAGGCAAGAATTCCCTCTCTTGCACGATCCTATCTCACACCCAAAGCCCACCCTGCAGGCACAAACATACCCTGTTCTGAGCACCCCGTTCCTGAAATCCAGGTAACACATCCAAACAGCCAGCAGGGAATTCTCCTCAGGAGATTTTTGGAGATTCCTACAATATGAACAATTTCAACAGCTTTAGGAAGACCAAAAGCAGAAGAGAAGTGTCACTGAATCCACGCAAGGCACAAAACCCATCAGGAACTGCCAGCTCTGGAGGGGCAGACAGAAGCACTGGGTTCCTGCTGGGCATTGTACACACGAAGATCAGAAGGGGCCTCCTCTGGATCTCCCCTTCCCCTTCCCAATGGCTGTTTAGTGCCTGAAGTTTCCCCAGCCTTCAYTGCCTCGCTACAAAAATAACACCAGAGAGGTTTCTCAGGTGCCTTCTGCTTACCAGAGGAAATAACCCATTCAAAAATAACAACAATTACCCTGAATTCCAGTCACGCTGAGGGGGGCTCTACRCTGCCTGACAATTTTCAGTCCCTTTCCTATCCCCTTGCTACTCCCAACAGCAGAGTTAAGCAATTAAACCAACGGCATTTCCCAGACAATAACAACAAAGCACTTGGCAGAATGGCTCCTGCTGCTCAGCACAAGAACACCAAGTGAACAGCAGGAAATCTTGCATTTACAGCAGCTCCTACTGAGCTTTTACTGCTTTCTGAGAGTTTGTCACTCACTGCCAAGGAACAGACACAAGCAAATACCCTTTAACATACATTTTCATCAAGGATAATGTTACTGTTTCTTGTATTCAGTAAAAATAAAAAACAAAAACAACATAGAGAGAGCAAAGCACTGACTGGACGGATAAATCTGGAAGCTGCTGGTGACACTTGATGAGTTTTCCTCAGGAAAACAGCAGAGAAGGATTTATACTTCCCCTCTGGAGTCACTTAGCAAGTGTCATGTGTTTCAACTGATGTCACTTTATTTAAGAAAAAGCCCAGTGTGAAGCAGGGAATATTTTGGTTCCTTTTTTTAAAACTCTTGGTACATCCACAGTCAAGGGGCACCTCCAAGAGCATGGGGAGCCTGGCAGGGCTCAGTCCTGCCAGCTGGAAAACCTACAGAGCACAGATGAGTCCAGCTTTGACCCCAAAAGGGTCTGACCCATTTCCAGCTGCACACAAGATGGGAACAACCATGGGAACAAGATGGGAACAGCCACGGGTACAAGATGGGAACAGCCATGGGTACAAGATGGGAACAACCATGGGAACAACCATGGGTACAAGATGGGAACAGCCACGGGTACAAGATGGGAACAGCCATGGGTACAACCATGGGTACAACCATGGGTACAAGATGGGAACAACCATGGGTACAAGATGGGAACAGCCA